CTCCCCACAAGTTAGACATTTCCTTATTTGCATACTGTGGGTCTCACCCACTACCATTTGGGCTCCTGGGTGACAGTGTGTGTGCGTCCTTCCCACTGCCTCACCACCAAGAAGAGGCCTGACATACATCGTAACTGGTGACAAGTGAATGTGCTCTTCCCGCCCTCTTCCCTGGAAACAGCTGAGAAAAAGCAAAGTGACTCTGAAGAGGAAAAGAGAGAAACGGAGAAGGATCCAAATTCCAGCCAGCGGCTCTGCTCCATCGGGGAGCACCACCCAGCTCTTCCCATTTCTCCCTCTGCCCTTCGCCCTTCCGTATCCCCAATGGCAACGCCACATCCCGCGGGCAGTCCACGGCCCCCCAGCTCAAATCAGTTGACAGATGGGCCCCGCTCCGTTCGTGTGGAGCCTCCCTCAGCTTTAATGGAACCACCTTTCAGCTTCCTGCACCCATCCCCGCTAGGAACAGGGCACAGGGCCGAGCTTCGAGGGGAGATGAGACGAACGGGGGGCAGGAAGGCACAGAGCTCTGGATGGGGAGGGACTGGGGGATAGCCCTGTGCAGCTGGAGGCCTGACACAGCTGGGCACAGGAAACCAGAGCAATGAGAAAACTCCTACTTACACTGCAAAACATTGCACAGATGTCCCCTCTTGTATAGAGGCTGACATCACCAGGCAATGTCTGGCCCTTGCTTCATAGGCCCCTGGCCCAGAGCTTTCTCCCTCTGTTCCGGTCCTGACAACACAGGGCTGGGGGGGGCTGTGTCTCCCAGTCTGGGAGCACCTTGCCGGCCAGGCTGGGTCCTCGGCACAGCCCAGCACAAAGAAGGAAGCTGTATCCTTGCAGTTCTCCACAACTTCCTTCCTAGATATTAACCCCATGCCCCCATGCCCTTCGTCAGGGAACCAGCTGGAGGCAAGATGCAGGCAGGAGTGGAAGTTCATCCTCAAGTCTATCCACTTCCTCTTTAGCTGTTGTTAGAGCCTCACTGGGGACCCTGACTGCCTGCCAGTCTGGGGCTGGACAGGACCTCTGACTACTTCCCCATCTGCTGGAAGCTGGGAGGTAAGCAAATGTAGGCAAATCTGGGATGGCCTGTGGCCAGAGGGGCTGGGCCTCAGGAGTTCCCTTGTCCTGTTAGGAAGCCCTGCTTAGGCTGAGGAGGGTGGGCCCCCCACCTCTCCAACCCCATGGCCCTGTCCATGGGGAACGCCCCCAGGGACCCTTTGTGGGCGCACTCCCCGAACATTTGCACGTGGCATCTCGGACCAGAGAAAAGGCCCCAGAATGATGCACAGATCCCAGCACAAAGCTTTCATTCCAGAAAGTAGAGCCTCAGGGCTAGAGGCAAACATGCCCTCAGGCTCCCAGAGCAGGTGAGGTGGCTAGAGCCCCTGCGCCCAGCACACACAGCTTCCACCCTGCACCCAGGAGACCACAGAGAAGGTGCCACAGACAGCAGACCAGTCACCCTCCTCCACCCCCACCACATTCAAATAGGGATTTGAATATGTTTCCTGAGCCTGGCTTGGTCCGTCCACCCTCCTGGGCCCTGGGCCCTTGCAGAACCCCTACAGAGAAAGGGCGGCTGTTTCTAGGCTCCAAAGCCCCAGGGCCCACACTTGGGCTCAGGACCAAGGGGTCTTCTCGATGCTACTCAGGGACCTAGAGAGCTAGGAAGGCCAGAGCCCAGGGGCCCACGGCCCCCCACCCACCCCCCACACACGCCCCACACACACACGCCCCACACACACGCCCCAGGCCCAGGCAGGAAGCGAAGGGGAAGAAGATGTGAGGGGAAGGAAGGGGCCCAGGGCCCGGGAGGAGGAGACACATGTGGGGGAAGAAGTTGGTGGAGGCCCCTCCCCCATAGGCAGAAGTAGGGGGTGTCAAAGGAGGCAAAAACCTCAGGCACCCTGTCGGACAGCGGGATGGTTCCCGGGTGTCCCTCAATCCCCCCCCCACAGTCCCATCTGGGGCCTTGAACCTCAGTGGGGTCAGCCTGGGGCTTGAGAGCATTAACCCCACCGTTTGCTAGTTCTCAGCCTAGATGTGCACTAACCCAGGGTATATTAACCCCTTCCTGTTCTAACCTCGGACGAAGGACCCCGGAATCTGAGTTGACTGCCCCCTCCATCCCCCACCCCAACCCTCCCCTCCAGGCCAGCCCCAGAAGTGGGAGCATATTCCCTTCTCCATCACATGCCCAGGGTTTCAGCGCATCAGCTCCCCTGGCGCTGGCCTGGGGTGCCCCCAGCAACTGCCAGTGGCAGGCTCACCTGAGACATCTGGGGACGCAGGTTGACCTCGCGCAGGTTGATGGCCTGCGGCAGCAGGTTGTTGAGCAGCTGACACAGAAGGACGCCATCGCGGAGGGCCTGGGCCAGCTCGCACACCTGCGCGCCGTCCCAGGTCACGCGGTGGCTGGGCGGCAGCACCCGGCACTGGATCAGCCAGTGGGTACACTGGCGCCAGAGCTCCATGGTCGCTGCCTCACCTGGCGGCCCGCGCCCTCGCGGCCTCCACCGCTGCCTGCCTGTGCTAGCTAGCTACCACTTCCTCTTTGCCTGTAACTGTCGCCCCGGGAGGGGGTGGAGGGGGAGGAGCCGGGGTGGGGTGGGGTGGGTGGGAGGCGGGAGCATCGGCGGGCCAGCCCCTTCGATGCAGGACTCCTTTTCCCCTTTCGAGCTCAACACAGGTCTGGGCACCTGAGAGTGAGGGGCTGCTGGTGCCTTGCGCCCATATCAAGCTCAAAATCTGCTCTCTTCTGAACCCTCTGGCTTCTGCCTCCATGCTGGTTTGGCCCCCCAACATCCTAGCTTGAATCAATATCTTCTCCTTCCATCCTGGTCCCCAGGATCCCCACTTTGCTCCCGCCCAGTCCGTCCTCCCCACCTCCCTGCAGCCAACAAGGTCCCACATGTCACATCTTGTACCCCTCCTTGCCCTCATGTCTTGTCGGCCACTCACCACTTTCCCTCACTCAGTCTGCCCCGGCCACACAGGCCTCCTCAATGTTTCTCCAACTCATCAGGCCACCCCAGAATCTTGCCCCCCCAAATCCTGCCACAGGGCCTTTGCACATGCTGTTCCTCTGCCTTAGGCAAGCAACTTCATGGCTAGCTCCCTCACCTCCAGCAGTGCTTTGCTCCATGTCACTGTCTTATGAGATCTTCCCAAATCTCACCATTTCAAATCACAGCCTTCCTTTCCCACTTCCCCACATTAAGCCCTGACCACCATCCAACAAACCTGACATTTTCTATACTTACTTCTTTATTGTCTACTTAGAAATGCGTGTCTCATGTGTTCCCAGCACCTGGCACATATACACCCTCCATAAATATTTCTTGAAAGAATAAAGAAATGGTTGGAAGCTTTTTTTGTGGCTCCACCTCTGACATTCATCCCAAGTCCATCCATTTATTGCCATGGCCCTGGCCACCACCGTCTCTTTCCTTGTAGACTTCGATGGTGTCGTTCATTAGCCTATTCGTTTAGCAAACACGTACCATCTTCGTAGCCTTTATCCCTACCTGAAATCATCTTGGCTACAAGGTCTCTCTCCACCTCCACCCCAGCAAGCCGACTAGACTCCCCTCTCCCGCCCATCTCACAGGCAAGCCCCTTGGATTTTCTTTTTTTATTTTTCTAACCACTAGGGGGCGCTAGACTCCTACACTGGACATTTCCCCCCTCTACCCTCTGTACCAAAACTAGGCGGGAGGGGGTCAAGGAAAAGACTCTCACCTCAATTCCTCCTCAGCCTCGAGTCCCTTCCACATCCGCTGAGGGGGAAGCCAAGCCGGGAAATCACCAGATTTGCGATCCCACAGGCACCGAAACGTTTCATCCCCAAGCATCCTTGGCGCTCTATGAGTCAATTTCCTCATCTGTAAAATGGGTGACGGTAACCCTCACCGTTTAGAATTATGGTAGGGATCGGAGAAAGTAGGGCTGCACGGATGAAAGCGAGGAGGGCAGGATGGCGCTCCAGGGCTCCGGGTGTGAATCCCTCCTCCGCCACTCACAAGCCGGGTCAACTTGGGCAAAATGGCTTAGCTGCCTCGAGCCTCAGTTTCTGCATCTGGAAAATGGGGGTGATGAAATAGTACCTACTTCACTGACAGGTCTATGTAAAAATTATATGCGTTGAAGCAGGTCAGGCAAGCAGAACAGTCCTGGCATACAGTAAGTGCTCAATAAGTGTTCGTTGTGACTACTGCTTTCAAAACTGTTGTTATTATTGTGAGCCCTCAATAAACGTGGCTGGAGAGTCCTTCCCCTTGTTCCAAATCCACTCCCCCAACCTTTCCATGCTTGCTCCAGGCATCACGATGGAAGCTCCCCTCCCACCAGGGAAACCACCCGAGTGTCTCCTATCCATAACCCCCCAGAGCCTAGCTCATCTCCCTCGTGCTGTTACTGGTGGAGGATGTCGTGTTTTCCCGCATCTGTCTCCACAAACCCGACACCCACTGGAGTTCCCTTCCCGGAAACCCAGGGGGACGGTCCGGAGGAAGCGCACCTCTCTCTACGTCACAGCAGCCGCCACACCCGCGCTTGGAGAGAGCCCGTAAGGGGCCGCCCTGGCCCCGCGCGGAACCCTGGGAGGCGAGGAGAGCGACACCCCTTACCTCGTCTCTAGGGGTCAGGGGGACTTAGGACCAGCCTGCGGGGAGTAGAGGAGCAGAGCTCTAAGGGGCGGGACTAAGAGGGGAGAGGAGAGTGTGGGCGTGGCCAGCTCATGGGGGTGGAGCGACGTTCCAGGCGGCGGGGCCCTAGGGAAAGGCTGGGCGGTGTTTCCTAAGGGGGCGTGGTTTATGGGAGGTAGTTCCCCCCCAAGGGGCGTGGTTAGCGCCAAGAACGCCTCTAAGGGGGTGGGGCGGGGGCGGGGCCAGAGCCTGGGAGGCCACCGTTGGAGGCGGGGTCCTCGGGGGGCGGGGCCAGGTGAATGGGCTTGGTTCCCGCCGGGCGCGGCCGGAGAAGGTTGGGCCCGCTCGGGCGGGGAGGGAGGGGCCCGGAGCCGCAGAGCCTCAGGCTTCGGCCCGGCCCCAGCCTCTCGCCAGCTCCGCGGGTCCCGGCCCAGGTGAGTGAGGGGCCCCAGGCACATCCAGAGTCAGGGGATTATTGGGGTGGGAGAGTCCTCTCTTTTCCAGGTGGGGTCACTGGTCTGCAGGGAGGGTCGAGGTGTCGGTCCCTGAGCAGCAGAGGACACAGAAGGGGTCGCCGGGTGCCTGATTGAGTCGCTGTGCGTCACGCATGGCCATGTGCCTAGGCGTACCTGGAAGTGCTCCTCTGAGCGTGTTACCTGTGGAACACGGAAAGCCTCCAGGCTGCCACTTTGCCTGACCAATCTTTTTAAAGCACAAACCGGGTCGCCCCTCCCTCATCTAAAACTCTTCCATAACCCCTGTTGCATCCCACTAAGATAAAAATTCGGGGTCCACCAGAATGATCTCATGCCTGGCGACCTCCACTTAGCTGGTTGCCCAGTGCGTTTCGGCTACAGTGGCCCCCTTGATGACGTAAAATGTTAGAAGTAAGCTCCATCTCACCCCCAGCCTTTTGCACTTGCTGTCCCCTCCCCCACCACCTTATCTGTCCTTTTTCCAAACCTTTGTGTAACTGTCTCCTTCCCTTTACTGAGATCTCAGCTCCAAAGTCCCCTGGAGAGAGAGACCTGCCTGACGATACGCTATTTACAGTAGCTGCCTCCTCCAGCCTTCTTTATCCCATGCTCCTGGTTTATCATCTTCCGTGATTACTCTTAGACATTACCTTCTTTATTCATTGTGTGTTGTTTGCTGTGTGACTTGCCCACCAGGCAGTCCAGGCCAGGGCCTTAGTCACATTCATCACTGTGTCTCCAGGGTCTAGAACAGGTCCTGGACACAGTAAGTGCTCAACCAATCAGCGTTTGCTCAATGTCAAGTTTGAGTACCCCTGTCTAACTGTGTGCATGTGTCTATGTGTGCCTGTGTGTGCACATGGGTGTGGTCTATAGGGCATGAATAGCCCCCTTCTTTTCCCCATGCTTGCCCCTACCCCACTCTCTTCCTGATTCTGCTCCCTTCTTCTCTCCCCTGCCCAAATATCCAGAAATTATTCCAAAAGATGAAGGGCAGGAGGAGGACTTATTTGATCTGAATCTGACCCGTGCCCACCCTGAGCAACCCCACCAATCCAAGCTTCCACCCACCAAACTAACCAGAGCCTTGTCAGTGACCCACCTGCATGCCCACTAAAGAGGGCACAAGATAGAGGAAGCTGAGGTTGGGGGAGTCAAGACAGAGGCTGGTCTGGCCCAGCTGACAAACAGGAAGTACACAGACATCCAGGAGACACACCTGGCATTCAGGTATGCAGCACCTGGGGACAGCTCCCTGCCCAGCTCCCCACCCCTAAAGCCATCTGGGGCAGGTCTGGGAACTTCCTGCCCGTTCCTGGCCCTCAGCCTTGCTGACTCAGAATGTGAGAATCCTGGTGCTGTTTCCCTGCACAGCCCATCAGGCCCAGAAAACCTTAGGGGCGGAGGCAGTGAGAAGCAGACGGCCTGCTTCCGTCCCACCCAGAGCAGGTTTTCTCCACCAGACACACAGAGCCCAAGGCCTGCACAATGTCAAGGGAGCCCCAAAATGTCAGAGACCTAAATTTGGCCATAATAATAACAAAGTGTATCGGCTCCAAAATGTCAGAAACTGCAAAGGCAAAATCGCTGTTTGCTGACATGTCTAGAAAATGCGGTATTTTTATTGTCCTTAAAAATGGTATTATAGGGGCGCCTCGGTGGCTCAGTCAGTTAAGCTTCCTACTTCAGCTCAGGTCATGATCTCGCGGTTTGTGGGTTCAAGCCCCTCATCGGGCTCTGTGCTGACAGCCTGGAGCCTGGAGCCTGCTTTAGATTCTGTGTCACCCTTTCTCTCTGCCCCTCCCCCTCTCATGCTCTGTCTCTGTCTCTTAAAAATAAATAAACATTAAACAAATTTTTTTTTTTTATGTTTTATTTATTTCTAGGAGAGAGAGAGAGAGACAGCATGAGCAGGGGAGGGTCAGAGAGAGAGGGAGTCACAGACTGAAACAGGCTCCAGGCTCTGAGCTGGCAGTCAGCACAGAGCCCGACGCGGGGCTTGAACCCACGAACCGTGAGATCATGACCTAAGTGAAAGTTAGACGCTTAACCAACTAAGCCACCCAGGCGCCCCATAAACAAAATTTTTTTTAATGGTATTATATTGAAAGGGTACCTGGCTGGCTCAGTCAGAGGAGCGTGTGTCTCTTGATCTCAGGGTTGTGAGTTTGAGCCCCACATTGGGTGAAGAGATTACTTAAAAATAATAATAAAAATAAAATTTAAGGGGCACCTGGGTGGCTCAGTGGGTGACTCTTGATTTCAGCTCATGTTATGATCTCACAGTCATGAGACTGAGTCCTGCATCCAGCTCTGTGCTGGGTGTGGAGCCTGCTTAAGATTCTCTCTCTCCCTCCCTCTCCCTCTGCCTATCCCCCGATCACATTCATTCCCTCTCTCTTTCAAAATACATAAATACGTACATACAATTTTTTTAAATGGTGTGACATTGGAAAGCCATGTATGGGTTAGATGTTCTTTATATCCTAAGAATTCCTGAATGTGCACATAGATGCTAAGAAGTATAGATTAATAAAATAAATCCCTCTGGCCTGGAATGTTCTTTCACCTGGCCCCTCCCTCACAATCCTCCCAGTTGATACTGATCAAGACCTTTCCCGGCTGCCCTATGGAAAATCTTACGTCTACCACTTGTAACTTCATATCTCATCCCTGACTTTATTTTTCTACTTATCTCTTTCTGACCTATCTACTCCTTCATCTACTTATTTATTTTCTTTAAAATATTTTTTTAATGTTTATTTATTTTTGAGAGAGATAGAATGTGGGGGTAGGGAAGGGACAGAGAGGGGCGGAGACACAATATCCGAAGCAGGCTCCAGGCTCTGAGCTGTCAGCACAGAGCCCGAAGCGGTCTCAAACCCACAAAATGTGGGATCATGACCTGAGCTGAAGTCGGATGCTTAACCGACTGAGCCCCCCAGGCGCCCCTACTTAACTGCTTTCTGACCCCCTAGAACAGCGGCTCCCCAAGGACACCCCTATTTTGCTCCTGCTGGGCCTCTAGTGGCTAGAGTATGCACCTGGCACACTATGAGTGCCCCATAAATATTAGTTTGAGTGAAATAGTTAATGAAATTTTTATAAAACATAGTATCATGTCATCTGCATAAAATTTGCATTACAGGGGCACCTGGGTGGCTCAGTCAGTTAAGCGTCAGACTCTCGATTTCCGCTCAGATCATGATCTCATGGTTCCTGGGATCGAGCCCCGCCTGGGGCTCCAAGTGGACAGTGCATAGCCTGCTTGGCATTCTCGTTCCCTCTCTCTCTCTGCTCTTCCCCTGCTCACACACTTTCTCTCTCTCTCAAAATAAATAAATAAACATGTTTTTAAAATTGCATTACATTTGAAAGCAAAGCCTAGGTCTTCTCCCTTTGCAAGAATCCCGGGGAATGCACATATCACAGCAAATTCTAAATTAAACTTAATCATAGCCCAATTATATGTATCTACCATACACATACACACACACACACACACACACACACATATAAACAAAATTTGATGCATATATATATATAGACTGGGTAAATTGTTTAATTTAGAATATGGTTATACATATTATTAATTATATATTAATATATTATATTATGTAATATAATAATTATTTAATAATAATTAATATAATATATTAATATTATACACACACACATACACACATACACACACAGAGTTACATTATAAGGTTTGAAGAACATGGAAGGGCTGACCTGGCCACTCAAGAAGTTTAGGAGGCAGGAATAATTCTTCCCATTTTACAGATGTGGAAGACGGAGGACTGTCGAAGTGCAGAGTTCAACCCTTGCACCCTCTGTCCCCAAGAGCTCCATGCAGGTGCCACAGGATGGAGAGGACTTTGCCGGGCAGCCCTGGTACCATGGCCCCCTGTCCCGTCAGGTACCTCTGCTTCCTGCAGAGCCTCAGAACCATCTGATGGGCAGCCTCCCCTGCCCTGACCTGGTGGGGACTCCCGGGTCCTGAATGAGGGACTTATGGTCAAGGTCTATTGGAAGGGGTGGCTGAGGGTCTGGGACTGTCTTCAAGCTTTGTTATACTTAAATGACCATTTTCTCTTGGATAGTATGGCTGAGGGTGACAAAGGGGCCCTAATGTCCCCCAAACCTGACTCCTTGGCTTTGCTTGTCTTTCCCTGTGGGTCCCAGGCACGTGTGGCCACCAGGGCCCCATTTCCCTTTCTTATTACTTTCATTGATTTTACTTTTAGACATTATCTTCTTCATCTTCCTTCATGTGTGCTTGTCTGTCTGGTGTCCTACCCACTAGGTGGTGCAGGGCAGGGCCTTGGTCTCACTCATCACTGTGCCTCCAGGGTCTAGAACAGGTCCTGACACACAGTACGTGCTCTATCAGTTCTGAGCACTCATGGCATCTCCCTCTCAACTCAAGTCTCCCCACCCTCATCCCTAACTTATTTGTCACCCTCGGGAGTCCTGGACCCTGGGCATACAGTCAAATTGTAAGAGTCAGTGTCACTTAGTGGTTAAAATTCCACACCCTGGAGCCAGACACCATGGATTCAAATCCCAGCCCTACAACTTACATTCTGTGTGACCTTGGGCAAGGTATTTGACCTGTCCGGGCCTCAGTTTCCCCATGTGTGAAATGGGAATAATGGTGTCTACTGCTTAACCTTGGAAAAGGATTAAATGAGTTCATATGCCTACAGCATGTAGCCTGGTGTGTAGTATGGGCTACCACCATATTTATGGGCTCTATGGGCATCCACCATATTTATTGTTCAGCCCCCAGCCCCCATCACCAGCTCTGCTTTGCCTCTCCCTGTGGTGTCATGGCCCCCAGCCCCTGTTTTAACACCAGCCACCATGGCTGGCATAAGACTGCTTGAGAATTTTAATAAAGGAGGGTTTCGAGGTCACAGTCAGTTTGGAAAGGCCCAGTATTTGTGTGTGTGTGTGTGTGTGTGTGTGTACAAAGCCTAGTGCATTTACCCAGGTTGAGAGCTGCATTAGTCAATGTCAGCCAGCAGCTGTGACAAACGTCCCCAAGATGTCACTGGCGAAACACAAGAGACATTTATGGGCTTGTTCGTGTTACAAGATGAGATGGCTGAGGAGCAGGAAATGCAGAGCTCCGGATATCAGTCAGGAGCCAAGCTCTTTCCATCTTGTGGCTCCGCCTTCCACCAGGGCTTTGGGGACATTTCCTGACACATAGGGGACAGAGCCTGTAGGACTGTGCAGAAGGGAGGGTCTTGTGAGGCAGGCCTGGGACATTCCCAGCAGCACTTCGGCCCTCATCCTATTGGCCAGATCATATCGAATGATGACGAGCTGCAAAGGAGCCTGGGAAATGTACTCCGGAGGTGTGCCCCTGAGGAAAGGGGAGATGGTTTGATGCAAAACTACCCTGTCTCTGGGGTGGCTTTTCTGGGTGGGGGCTGGGGGTTACGCATCACCATTGATTGCTGGTCTGGGCTCATGCCTAAGCCCCCTGCCCCCTTTCCTCCTTCCCCAGAAGGCTGAGGCCCTCCTTCAGCAAGATGGGGACTTCTTGGTTCGTGCCTCCGGGTCCCGTGGGGGCCACCCAGTGATCTCCTGCCGCTGGCAGGGCTCAGCCCTGCACTTCGAGGTGCTCCGTGTGGCCCTGCGTCCCCGGCCAGGCCGGCCCACAGCCCTCTTTCAGCTGGAGGATGAGCGTTTCCCAAGCCTGACCTCCCTGGTTCTCAGCTATGTGGCCGGGCAGCGTCCACTGTCCCAGGCCACAGGGGCGGTGGCCTCCAGGCCGGTGACACGGCAAGGTCCCATTCGACGCAGCTTTAGTGAGGACACCCTCCGAGACAGCCCATCTCTGACAGAGTTGCCCAGGTAATCACAGTCCCCCTGCCTCTCGGGTGACACCCAATGCCCCAGAATCCCTCCACCTGTGTCATTTAGCGTCAGATCACTCTTGGTTGCTGGAGCTTGTCCTGTGCATCGTAGGATGTTGAACAGCACCCCTGGGCTCTATCTACTAGGTGCCTGTGGCACCTTCTCCACCCCACCCCGAGTTGTCACAATGAAAAAAATGTCTCCTGACACTGCCAAGTGTCCCCTGTGGGTAGGACTCCTTGGTTGAGGCCCACCAATCCTGAATGGGTGGATATGGGGTTTTCTGAGCATCCGTGGGGGCTGCCCTGCTACACATCTCCCTCATGTCTGTCCCTCAGGGCTAGGAAGCGGAGTGACAGTCAGCCTGCAGGCTTGGAGCACATGGGGTGGTCAGGAGAAGATCACTGTGGTCCAGGTAAGGGTCTCCCAGGGCAGCACTTGGCTCAGAGGTGGCTTTGCCCCTCACTGCCTCAGTGATATGGGCAAGTGACTTAACCTCTTGGAAGATGAGGACAGTAATGCTTTCAAAATTGTCATGGTGATTAACAAATACACAGGAACTTTGTGAGGGCTTTAAAATGTGGGTTTATGATTATTCCCAGAAGCTCTGTGTACTTTCACCATGCTGAGCTCTCTAATAATGCCTGCCACACCCCTTCCTCACTCTAGCCACACAGTCTTGTTGGGGCTGCCTCAAGATCTTTGCACTTGCTATACTCCCCGTGGGAAAGACCATTCTCCTCATCTTTTCCCTACTGACTTCTCATTTAACTTGGTTTCTCAAAGCAGCCGACCCTGACCGTCTTACCTCAGATGCTCCTTGTGGCTTGTCAGGCCCATTTCCCCCCATTCCACATGAGCCCTTACTGCACGCCAGCCACTGTGCTAAATGCTGAGATATCTCACTCAACAAGAAAGACAAAGATCTCTGTACAGGTGGTGCCGGCATCCCATTAAAGGGTGGCTCAGTCAGTTAAGCATCTGACTCTTGATTTTGGCTCAGGTCACAATCTCATGGTTTGTGAGTAAGCCCTGTGTCGGGCTCGGTACTGACAGCATGGAGCCTGCTTGGGATTCTCTCTCTCCCTCTCTCTCTGTTTCTCTCTCTCAAAATAAATAAACTTTAAAAAAAAAAAAAAAAAAAAAAGAAGGAACAGCCAATGCAAAGATCCTGGGACCAAAACAAGAGTTTGAACTGTTCATTCAACCAAAAGGAGGTGAGTCTAGCTGAACCATCTGGGGCTCAGATTTCAGGAGCCTTTTTTGGCTACTCTGAGGACTTTGGCCTTTACGTAGGGTGAGCCAGAACAGTGGGAAGGTTTTGAGCCCCTATAAGAGGGTCTATGTATATGCTTGGTAAATACAGAGTCTCCCAGAAGGCTGGGTGCAGCTTTAAGTTCTAATAACCTCAAAAGACATCGTTTGAAAGTTTGATGAATTCTGTTTCTTTGATGCTTTTGTCATCTTGTGAATTTTGAATAATTGTTCCTATTTTCATTTTCTTTGTTACAATTTTTTTAATGTTCATTTATTTTTGAGAGACAGAGCATGAGCAGGGGAGGGGCAGAGAGAGAAGGATCTGAATCAGGCTCCAGGCTCCGAGCTGTCATCCCAGAGCTTCACACCGGGCTCGAACTCACAGACTGTGAGATCATGACCTGAGCCGAAGTCGGACACAACAGACTGAGCCACCCAGGCGCCCCTCTATTTTAGTTTTGTATGTACTTCCCATCTTCAGTCAGAGGGGCAAAAACAGAAGAATTCGAGTTTAAACCATAGTATTCAGAATTCATATATAATTGTCAAAGAAAGTTCATTTTCAAACCATTGGTAAGTGTGTAGCATTTAGATCAATGAAGTTTTTTAAGTTCAAAGCCACCCCAAGATACCTAGTTATTGACTGCATGAACCAAGAGGGGGGTATCACAGGAAGACCCCTACCCCAGCTATCTTCTCTGTGTACCCCCTTCACTCCCTCTTGTTTGACCCCTAGAAGCCTCAGCCAAGCCCACGCGTGCCCTCCCTCGGATGGGTAGTGACCCCGTGTTGCTGAAGGCCCCAGCTCCCCTGGGGTCCTTTGCTGACAGCCTCAGGGCCTCCGATGGGCAGCTTCATGCCAAGGCACCAACCAAGCCCCCTCGAACACCCTCGCTGGTGCTACGTGATGAGTCTGGATGCCCCCCAACATACTGTGAGCTGGTGCCCCGAATGCCCAGTGCCCAAAGAACACCCCCGGGCTACAGCAGCCCAGAGACAGAGGCCCCGTGGTGGGAAGCCGAAGAGGAAGAGGAGGAAGAAAACAGAAATTTTGTAAGACCACAGGCTGAGGTCTCCTTCTGCCCCCCTAACTACCCCTCCTGCCTGCTGGGCCCCCAGAATCGGCCCCTGGAACCCAAAGTCCTGAGTACTCTCCGTGGCCTGTTCCTGGAGCACCATCCCGGGAGCACTGCCCTCCACCTACTATTGGTGGACTGCCAGGTGGGTCACCTATCTGGTCCCTCCTCCCCAGACAGGGGCTAAAGCTGGCCCCTCACACCCATATACTCATTCTGTTCCACTGACACCCCCACTAACTCCCCCCAGGCTACAGGGCTTCTGGGAGTGACCAAGGCTCAGCGGGATGCCATGGGGGCCGCCTCAGGCCTGGAGCTGCTCACGCTTCCCCATGGGCATCGCTTGAGGCTAGAACTTCTGGAGAGGTGAGCCGGCCACCTGAAGGGTCTTCAAACCTCCGCCCCCCCCCACCCCCGCCCCTCAGCTCCGAGTTACAACCCTCCCACTGCCCCAGACCCTTGCCCTCCACCCCGCAGACACGAGGCGCTGGCGCTGGCTGGGGCTGTGGCGGTGCTGGGCTGCGCAGGGCCGCTGGAGGAGCGCGCGGCCACCCTTCGGGGCCTGGTGGAGCTGGCCCTGGCGCTGGGGCCAGGGGCGGCGGGGGACCTGCCTGGACTGGCCGCCGTCATGGGCGCCCTGCTCATGCCCCAGGTGCGTGGGGAGCAGAAATGAGGAAGCCTGAGTGCAGGAAAGAGGGAAGAGGAAGCATATTCAGGGCTCCTCCTCCAGGTGTCCCGGTTGGAACGCACGTGGCGCCACCTCCGAAGGAGCCACACAGAGGCCGCACTGGCCTTCGAGCAGGAGCTGAAACCTCTGATGCGAGCGCTGGATGAGGGCGTCGGTGAGTGGCATCACTTGGAGGTCCACATGAACCCTAATCCGTACCCTAATCCAGTCCTAGGCCCCGCCCCTGGTTCTGTCCTAGGCTCCGCCCCCGGCCCCAGGCGACGTCCCCTGACCCAGTTGCTCCGTGTTAGGCTGGAATCTGCATTCCTGGGCTTCTTTCCTAGGGGCCTCCTCGACTCAGAAGAGGGTCCGAGGAGGGTCCACCCTCTTCGCCCAAGACCCCACCTTCTGCCCCAAGCCTAGCCCAGAACCCTTCCCGCGTAGGACCCTGCGACCCCGGCGAGGTGGCGCTGCCCCACGTGGTACCCGCGGTGCGCCTGCTGGAGGGCGAGGAGCTCCAGGGGCCGCTGGACGAAAGCTGCGAGCGGCTGCTGCGCACCCTGCAGCGGGCGCGTCGGACGGCTCAGGACGCGCCCAAGTTCCGCCAGGCGGCGGCCCGGCGCCTGCGAGGTGAGTTCCCCCTCTGCTCCCAGCTGCTGGAGCATCCGGACTTTCCAAGCACCCCAAAACCCCACCGGGCCAGGGACCAGAGCCTCCCGCCCCGCCTCCCAGAGTCCCACCCACACTGGACGGCCCGGCCCCCAGGGAGTTCTGAGCCCAAGTCCCCGCGTCGGAGCCAACAATGTTGACAGGAACAGTGGGGGGAGCCACTGTCCGAGCCACGTCCACGGACTCCCAGTCGCCGGCTCCCACCTGACGCGGCCCTGCCCCCCCCACCCCCCAGGATCTCTCCAAAATGAGCCACGCCTTCAGTCTGGCAGAACAGCGCCCCCATTGCGCTCAGAGCCATCCCTCCAGTCCCGGGGCGGCCCAGCCTCCAGAATCTCATTCCCGCTTTCTCTGGCGACCTTAGCTCTCTTCTCTCCAAAAAGGCTCAGCCTCCCCCAGAACGTGTCGTGCTGGGCGGCCCAGACTCCGAATCTTGCCCCCCAGGCGGCTCCGTCTCCAGGCGCAGCCCCTAAGCCCCGGCATCCAGCGCCTGGGACAGACCGCCCCCTGCACCCTGGCACTGTAGGTTTCCGCGGCGCTCCTTAGCCACCCCACCCCCATCCTGCAGAGGGACTCAGGGAGCCCCCTCGCTGCCAACCCCGCCCAGCCGTCCAGAGCTTCCGGACAGTCCCTCCAGGTCCCTGCTGGGAGAAAGTTCCCCTGGGAGAAGGCCGGTGCGCGGAGGGGGGTGGGGGCAAGCCTGGAGCCTGGACCCCGCCCCTAGCCCTTCTGGCCCCGGCCCCAGGATTCCGTCCGAACCCGCAGCTGAGGGAGGCCCTGACCACAGGCTTCGTGCAAAGGCTGCTCTGGGGAAGCCGAGGCGTCGTGGCACCACAAGCCGTGCGTCTTGAGAAGTTCCAGCGCGTACTCAGTGTCCTTTCACAGCGTCTCGAGCCGGACAGTTGAAAGCACAGACCCCCTTCTTCGCACTGGGACACCCAGCCAGTTGCCCCAAGCTGCTCACACAGCCAAACGCGTTGGGAACCCCCATTCCACCTCACAGAAAGTGGGGGCCAGATTCACAAGAACCCATCCTGCTCCCTAAACACGATCGTGAATCCTAGCATGAGGGACAGCCTTCTCCCTCACGCTAGAAGACCCAGGGGTCTGGAGACTCTGGACGTCCCATCCCAGCCCCCGCCTCCCTGCATATAACCTACAAATGGTGAACATGAAGCTTTCATAATAAGAAAATGCGCAGATCTCTTCCTCTGAAGCCAGAGTTCAAATGCTTTTTAAAAGCTGTGTGACTTCTAGCAAATGGCTCAACCTCTCTGTGCCTGCCTTCAACATAAGAGAGGCTGTGTACTTTCTGTGGGTTGTCATGGGGATTAAAGCTCAGGAGTTTATGTATCATGGGTGGAGAATGCCTGGCATGCGGTAGGTCCTCACCACCACCTTTTCTCAGTCAAGCTGCCATGAACACAAACAAGGAAGGGGGATGTTTGGTGCTTTTCTCCTCTTACTGAAGTCACAAGCACCCAGCTCCGGGAAGTTTTGTCCAAGGTCTGCCCAAGTTTACTTCCCTTTCTTCGCGCCCCCTGTGGCCAGGAAGGAGGGTGGCATCTGCTTATCCAGCCTCAGGCTCTAAATCTATTAATAAGGCACAGACTCCAAAACCTTTAGGTCATTTTTTATATAAAACAAAATGGCCCTAGCCCAGCGGCAGGAAGAAAAGATCTGAAACACGAGTATGTACATCAATGGTGGAAGGCACAGCGGGTCCGTTCGGGATGAGGGGTGGGGGTGTGGGGGGCAGCAGGTTACACGGGTCTCAGCTGAAGCCACGGGGGCAGAAATAAAGTGCGTAGGTCCTGGGGCCCCCCGTGGCCCAGAAGCAGCAGCCAACAGCCCCCTTCTTCGCGCCCGTGGCAGGGTTCAGTTGAGCGTGACGCGGAGGTAGGAGGTGGGCACGTAGCCCTCACCTCCCTGTTTCCGCCTGACTCGGGTCCAGCCGTCGCCTTTGTCTTCCTCCATGAGACTGAGGTCTTCACCCTCGGCCATGGAGATGGTGCCCTCGCTGGACCCTGTCACGGAGCGGCAGTGGGCTCAGATCTGCTTCAGGGGCTTTGAAACAGGACGGAGCCAAAAACAACCCCCCTCCCCCACCCCCGCAACTGTGACCCGCCAGCCGTCCTCACCTTCAAAGTGGTAGATGGCCACGCAGTGACCTATGGGGGATGCCGGCTCCTCCTCAAAATCCTCATCAAATTCCGTGTAGATGGGGGCCTCCTGACCCTCCTCCGAGAGGGGCTCTTCAGAGCTGCTCGGGGAGAGCAGAGCAGGTGAGGCTGGGGCTCCTGGGTCCTGGGGGCAGACCGCACTCTGTTCTCCCCGCTCACCTCTCCTTGTTATCCTGGGATCTGCTGTTGTTGCCGTTGCTGCCATCCGGCGGAGCGCTGGCTGGGGGGTCTGGAGGCCGGGTGTGGCGGCCCAGGCTGTCACCCCGGTTGCTCAGGACCCGGCTCTCTGCTTCTGCCAGCCAAGCCTGCGAGGAAGGAGCCACAGTCAATTCCAGGGCAGGGTTCCGGGGTCAGCCCATTCCGGGCCTGGAGGTTTCCTGAGATCACCCGTGCACACCCAAGGTTGTGATGAGAAACAGCTGGAGCACCCCCCAACACCTCCCTGTCCCCCCCCCCCCCAGGAAGTGACTCAGCCAGGCCCGCTGGCTCCCACCCCTCCCCAGGGTCTTCCCTGACCTCATACTTCTGCACTTCCAACTTGAGCCGTTCGATGTTGTTCAGGGTTTCCGTGATCCGGGGCTCCAAGCTGGCAGGGTCCCCCATCTGGGGTGTCTTCTCATATACATCCTTCATTTTCTTCAGGGCTTCTCTGGGATGGCACAGACAGATCAGAAAGAACGGTCCCGTGGGACTTAACAAGCAAACAAACATGTGCTTTGCTTCAAGGAACAAACAGCAAGACGAGGCGGCGGTTAAATCTCAAACGCTTGTGCTTTACCGCCTGGGTTTGAATCCCTGTCTGGGCATATGCTAGTGAGTTTGGATTAAGTTACTGAACATCTGTCTCAGGATACAAATCTGGAACATGGGGGCAATGATACACACGGCTCATGGGAATAGCTGGGAAAATTATAACAGTGTCTTTTTTTATCCAGATAAATACCGAGTACCTATTGCATACCAGGCCCTGTTCCAGGCATCCAAAAAAATAGCCCTAAATAAGCCCTCATCGGGATCCTGCCTCTCTGCTCAGTCTCAGGAAAACTTGGGAATTCCGGTGAATCTAGGTAATAGGTTTGAGATGGTGTAAGGCATGCAGTAAGCACTCAATAAATGCTAACTATTATTATCATTAGCCCCTGGTCCCCGTTTCCTCCAGGAATATATATACAGGCAGTAGTAGTAACAAGCATACAGCTTTGAAGCATGTCAAACCTGGTTTCAACTTCTTCTCAGTCCTAATATGGCATCCATGTTACAGATGAGGGAACTGAGGCACAGAGAGGTTAAACCAGCTGGAATTCAAGGCCGGTCTGTCCTGACTCCAAAGCTGTGCCCTTAACCCTTACATCATAAAAACTCAGGAACTACAAAGTTCCATATAGAACTTTACACCAATAAAAGTTTTGTACAAGAGGTTCTGTGCAAACGGCAAAATAGAATTTGGCTGTCTGTCCACAAGTGGCAAACGTCATCCTTATTATGTAAGGGGACTAGGAAGGGAGGATCTTGTTGCTTGGAAGAAGTGAGTATAGACTTTCTTTTTTTTTTCAATCTGGCAGACTTTTTATTGTTAGTATTTTAAGTGTTTGAGGTATTAAGCAGATAACCGTATGTTTTGTTTTGTTTTGTTTTTTTTCTTTTGGCCAATTAATGTAGTAAATGAGACTAATAGACGTTTTTATATTGAATCATCTTTGCATTACTGGGACAACACCCAATTGATTAAGACTTATCTTTTATTTATTTATTTATTAAATATTTTTATTTATTTCTAGGAGAGAGAGAGACAGCGTGAGCAGGGGAGGGTCAGAGAGAGAGGGAGACACAGACTCCGAAATAGGCTCCAGGCTCTGAGCTGGCAGTCAGCACAGAGCCCGACGCGGGGCTCGAACCCACGAACCACGAGATCATGACCCAAGCGAAAGTCGGACGCTTAACCGACTAAGCCACCCGGGCGCCCCAAGACTTATCTTTTAAAAAGATTGATTGTGGGGGGCGCCCAGGTAGCTCAGTCGGTTAAGCCTCCTACTTTGGCTCAGGTCATGATCTCACGGATCGTTGAGTTTGAGCCCCATGATGGACACTGAATGGACAGCGTTGAGCCTGCTTGGAATTCTCTCGGCCCCTTCCCTGCTCATGAACTTGTTATACGTAGTCTCTCTCTAAATAAACTTAAAAAAAAATTTTTTTTTACGTTATGGTAAAATACACAGAACACAAAATTTCCCATCCAAACCATTTTGAAGCATCTGGTCCAGTTCCACTGCATTAAATACACCCACACTATGGTGTAGCCAATGTCATCACATGCTGTATCATTTTAAAAATGCGTCATTGGGTTTGTCTGGCTAGGATTCTGCATTTAAGATCCTAAGTGAAATAAAATAAACCCAGAATTTCGTTCGATTTCTTGAGTTCTTGCTAACAGATACGGGAATGGATTCCACCAGCCTCCTAAAGGAGCAGGCAGCTTTCGCTTTTTTCTGTTTGCTGGAATGACTTGTATAAGAGGGGAAGTCAACGCTTTCCTTTTGAGTGTGTTAGAAATCACCTATAAAACCACTGGGGCCTGGGGTCTGTTGGCAAGGTCTTTGAGCACCACTCTGGTCAGGTTCACTTATTATTTTATTTTGGTCACTGCCTGCCCGCCCCCAGCCTTACCTCTGGTCAACCTCCTTCTGCAGTTCACGGCTCCTTTCTTCCAGCTGCTGCTGAAGTCGCTTTCTCTGCTGCTCTGGGGGTAAGTGGCTGAAATCCTCAGTCACCACTGTCTGCAAGGTCAGAAGACATTGCCCTTGGGATCAGGGATTCTAAGCTTCCAGACTCTAAGACACTGTTAAGACATACCAAGTCCACCTTCCTCCCCACCCAAGGTTCTTGGGGGGCAAGGCCATGCAAAGAGCAAAGCAGGTCCAGGTCTGACAACTGGAGGAGGGGGCCCAGCCAGCGGCAGGAAGCGAGCCCGGGGTCCCGCCACCCAGCCGCTGGGTGGGCTGGGGCTGTCCCCTCCTCCACCTCCCCCGAGGCCTCACTTACCCCACGGCTGCCTCGAAGGCTGCGGAAGGATGCTAGCCGCGGTTTGACCGACTTACTGATCTCACTCAATATGGCCAAGGGGTCGAGGCCGGAGCGGGGGGATGGGGGTCCATTAGGCAAGGCCGAGGGCAGGGGGCCCCCCAGGGGGGAGAAGGGTGGAGGGCGTGGCTACCGACGGGGGTAGGGGAGGGGGATGGGTCAGGAGGGGTGGGAGCATGTAGAGAACGACGGATGACAAACGTAATAAAGAAAACAGAAAAACAAAATGGAGAAAAGAAAAGAAAACAAAAACAAAAACAAAAACGGTAAGAAAACCAGAACTCAAGATGCACAATCACACACAGAAAATGCATGCAAAGAGCAACATAAAAATCTGGGATGTGGTGGGGAGGACATTAGACTGTGAGCCAGAAGGCTGGACCCCTCCCCCCCCAATGTCGCACCCCCACTGAATTCGATATCCAGTACCTAAGCATGGGGCCTGGGGGTAGGAGGCAGGGAGGCCTAGGTTTCCGTGCACCCAGTTTTCTGGGCTCACAGTCTAGGAGGCAGAGGGAGATGCATGCAGGAATCAAGGTCTCACACAGGTATATGGCCACAGAGGTCAAAGGCAAGCCAAGAGAAGGGTAGAAGGCATGAAGGATTGGGAGGTCTACAGGTGGGGTCTAAGCTAGGAGTCTCATGTACAAACTGAAAAGGGGTGTCAAACGATGTCAAGAGGGATCAAAAGTATAAAACAGGAGTCACAAGATATAACCATGGGGTCAGGGGGGATGGTGTCTAAAGATATAACCGTGGGGAGGGGGGTGTCTAACAGGTATAAAATGGGTATCCAGGTATGTACTTGACATTAAAGGCCAAAATCCCCAAGAAAAAAACAGCCTGAGGGTCACAGGCCCAGAGTCCCCAGGGCCAGCATCTGGAGCCCTCACCCAGTCCTGAACCCCAGAAGCAGGTCTTCTCCTAGCATCCTGAGAAGCAGCACACAGACACCACAGGCCTCCACCCCTGTACCCCATTCAGCCTTGGGGGACTCCCAGGCCAATCACCCGGCCGCCTCCCTTCCCTCCAGCCCGGGCCAGCAGCCAAGAGGAAAATTCCTGCCCGGGACTCAGCGTCCTGGCGGCTGGGG